GATGAATAGAGGACATGATTCATATTTCCCACTTTTGGGGTATAATATCAATAAATATCCACTTATATTATAATATGTAAACAAATTATACCATACCATGTGATCATATTCTAATACCACACTGTAATTATTCACGATGGCAAGATGTGCACCCTCCTTTGCTACGTTTCCTAGAACCTAGCTTAACATTACTTATTACATATAATAATAATAATAATTGACGTGGCCGGTCTCCAAAAATAAAAAAAAATGTGCTGATGGGATGAAAACGAAGTGTATGGTAATAATGTCATTCAAAAGGGGGGCTAAAATAGTAATTTCATTTATTACTTCCAAACTGTCAACCCCACTCCGCCCACTCCACACATCTTCGTTCCGAAGATATCGGCCATTAATTAAGTTGCGAAACTAGTGGTGCTTGCGTTAGACAATCTGGATCATTCACGTGGCAGGAGATAATTGAGTGCGACTAGAAAAGATCAGCCTATCAGGGCCAACTTCATCTCGAAAAAATCAACATCGACGTGCCGCAGAAATACCTAAAAATGATTGCCACATTACCAAATTGCCCCTCCAATATTCCTGCCTTTCTAGATCCATTTTTCCCCTATTACAAAACTAACCTCAATCTTTCTTATTTTCGGTCAATAAACTAACCTCATTCTGTCTTTTCCTTTTCCTTTCCTTTGGTGGATGTACTCTCGAAAGGTGAGGTTTGCAAGATAAATTGGTTCGAGAAAGGGGAGAAGAAAAGATACTATCACAATTGAATGAACAAAAAAATTTCTCAAATAACAAGTTGGACCAAGTGAAAGAAGATACAATTACTAGACTTGGCCCTACAGTAGACACGCCAGTATTTAACGATTGACCACACAGTCAACTTAACAGAAGAATGAAATTGGATGATATTACAAATGTATGGATGTAAATTGATAAAATTGATATCTTGGACTCCATATTGAGAACCATCCCAAACCTACTTGGTGTCTTTTGTCGTTAGCCCTATAAGGAATGAGTGTATGATAACTTTTTTGAAGTGCCAATAATAACTCGTATTGAAAGAAATCCTAAGTAATTATAATTTTTGTTAGTAAACTATTATTGACAAGCCAAAAAGTCATTATATATTTATTTAAGTACAATTTTCTTCTCGTGTTTTTATATGGAATGAGTGTATGATAACTTTTTTAAAATGCCAATAATAACTCGTATTGAAAGAAATCCTAAGTCAAATCCCTCCCCCAATGACGCAATAAAATTTGTTAGTTTTTGCATTCAATAATCTAATCTGGACCCCATAACACATAGGATTCGTATCCTTACAGGATTCAATTATACAAAAAGAAATAGTCACACGCCTCTTCTGAAATGCAAGAGTTTGAATACTATTTTCAAAATACGAGGGTATTTAAGACAATTGCAAATATGTGAAAAAAGACTGCTAAGGGTAATTTTGGAATGTCGAAACCCAATTTGGGCATAGTTGCCGCGTAAATGTTCGAAATTACCACTGAGCACCGTCGCGTCGACCAATATATATATGCCGTCAAAGCCCCTCCAACTGCCCACAACTTTCTTTCACTTTCTCATTCATTTTCTTCCGAGACAAACAGTCTCCCAAGTTCTAGGCTGTCCAGAGATCCCGGTAGCTTATACCATCTTCAGCCGTCATGAAGAAGCCTGGTGTTTTAGCAGCCTCAGTCGCCGCCGCTTCTGCTACTGCTCTCTCTGCTTCTTCTTCTTCTTCAAGCTGTGTGTCTAATTCAACCATGCGATTTTCTAATCAGGTAATTAAAAAAATCATAATTCGAATTCTGGGTTTTCTTAAGAGGTTCGATTTTGTTCAAACAGTGTTTAGCCTATATTGGCTGCTACTATTTTTCTTGGGTTCTGTTCTGTTTGGTTGCTGAGAAAAAAAAAAAGAACGGAAAAGAAAAGAAAATCAAGAAAAGAGAAACTCTCTAGCATCCAACTTCTGCTTCTTCTTTTTTTTATTTTTTTTTATTTTTTATGAAGTAAGAAACTAATCTGTTTATGTTTTATTTTGTAGGAGGCTGTCTCTTCGAAGAGAAATGAAGAAAATCCATCACCTTCCACAGAAAAATTTGCGCCGAGGTTCGATGGCTTGAGATTTATTGAAACCTTAGTCACTGCTCATAGATAATAAGATCTGGTCTCAACTCAAGCCTCACAGCTCCATCTTCTTCAAATCTAAATATATTTTTGCCTTTGATGATTTGATTTTGATCCATCTTCAGGAAACAACTTGAAGATAGGACTTTTAATTGTTTGGTAGATGAAATTAGTACTAGAAAGAGAGGAATTGTAACTTTAAGTTAAGGGCTTTCTTTCATGTGGAATTAATTTCTCTTCCCCTGTTTTCTGGCCTCCTTTCTTTCTTTTACTAAATGTTGCCAGTGGACTAATGATTGGATTGGATGCCATAGTCATCTGGTATGGTGATTTGTTTTTTCATAAAATCACATGTGACAGTGGAAATAAAAACCACGACAATCAAATTTCGCTAGCGTGATTGAATGCGAATAGCAAAATAGTTCTATCTAACAGCGCTATTGTTCGAAGCAAGTACCATCCCAAAAGTAACGGGCTTCTTTGCTTATGATATTATTGCCTATACTATAATAATATTCTCTTGACCACATAGATGTTATGATATGATATATCTATATATGTTTATATTGTCAATTAGGACCACATATTCAAAATGGTTTAACTTTATCAAAGGAAAAGATTCGATTAAATAAGGGTTCACACATAGGTGCGTCAGCGTTTACATAACTCAGGTGTGAAATTTGGCCATTTATTCACATAAAAATCAACTTAATACACTGTCTAGATTTAGTCTAAGAATCATCTTATGTTGTCAGCCTCTTTGGTAGGGATAATATATTTCATAGAATTGATTATTTAGAAGTGAATTCATTAACAATTACAAAAGCAAAGAATATTCTTAGTTTCATATTTGAAACTTTTGGGTTTGATCCATCTTCAGGAAACAACTTGAAGATAGGACTTTTAATTGTTTGGTAGATGAAATTAGTACTAGAAAGAGAGGAATTGTAACTTTAAGTTAAGGGCTTTCTTTCATGTGGAATTAATTTCTCTTCCCCTGTTTTCTGGCCTCCTTTCTTTCTTTTACTAAATGTTGCCAGTGGACTAATGATTGGATTGGATGCCATAGTCATCTGGTATGGTGATTTGTTTTTTCATAAAATCACATGTGACAGTGGAAATAAAAACCACGACAATCAAATTTCGCTAGCGTGATTGAATGCGAATAGCAAAATAGTTCTATCTAACAGCGCTATTGTTCGAAGCAAGTACCATCCCAAAAGTAACGGGCTTCTTTGCTTATGATATTATTGCCTATACTATAATAATATTCTCTTGACCACATAGATGTTATGATATGATATATCTATATATGTTTATATTGTCAATTAGGACCACATATTCAAAATGGTTTAACTTTATCAAAGGAAAAGATTCGATTAAATAAGGGTTCACACATAGGTGCGTCAGCGTTTACATAACTCAGGTGTGAAATTTGGCCATTTATTCACATAAAAATCAACTTAATACACTGTCTAGATTTAGTCTAAGAATCATCTTATGTTGTCAGCCTCTTTGGTAGGGATAATATATTTCATAGAATTGATTATTTAGAAGTGAATTCATTAACAATTACAAAAGCAAAGAATATTCTTAGTTTCATATTTGAAACTTTTGGGCTATGACATGCCTAGCACCAAAATATGTCACTTCTCAAAAGCAAAGCTAATAAAACCCCTTTAAGATATTGGAGCTCGAGTTTGACAAGTGCATCACCAAAATTGAGCTTTAGGTGAGGAATTTGGCCTTTCACGTGCATCATGGAAAATATTCCACACCCAACCAGATCATTCAACAACAACGATGCGTGGTCACCAAAAAAGATGTTAGAAAGTTATAAGCACTCCTTTTCTTCCATGATTGTGATATTTATTGGTTTTCTTCTGTGCTTCTTTGGGGAAGATAGTTTTCTCAAATGCCTGGCGTATTTATATATATATATATTTTAATCACTATAAAATTGAAATTGTTAGAAGAATATGATGATCTTGTCAACTTACCATTTATGTGTCCTTTTAAAATGGAGGTGGAACCCCTTTGAATAGCGGTGCTCATTTTAGAATATTCTCTTTGGGTTGAGTTTGGGCAAGTTTTGGGTTGTACCCTTCAAGTTGCATCTTTGCTCTCCACCCCACAACATTATAGGCAGAGCCTAACATTCTCGATGAGTTTTTTCTTTATTCAATAACTGTCGTAGATTAAATTTGAATTAAAGACTGCTTCAAGAAAAATGGAGACTACATGTCATATATCTAATAGTCATTCTCTATATGTTTGGGTTCCGAGTTTCAATTTGGGCCATGCTGTTTCAAAAAGAACGACAATCAAACAAAACTCATCACCTGTTGTGACATATGGGTTTTTTTGGCCAAATGATGAAGTTTATTGGTTCAAAATAGTTTGAGGTAGTATTTGTTCCAACTTTAGTCAAGTGATTAGGGTTATTATTCCTATTTTCCATTGTCAATGGACTTTGAAATTTTCTGATGGATTTCAATTATTCCTATTGCAGCTACCACCATTTCAGAGTACATTGGCTTAGGTGCTAGAGTGTGGATTATAAGTACGTTGGTAAAACTACAAGAAAATCTAAGACCTTAATTGGGTGTTTCATATACTACGAAAGCTATGCATCCATCCCAGGCGCTTGCGAATAGAGCAGACTTTGATGGGAGAGGTCCCTGCTTTGCGCCCGACAGCACCTCGAGGGTTAGTCCCCGCAATCGCGCGGGGATACCTTGGTTTTCACCAAAAAAAAAGCTATGCATCCCAGGAGCACAACAGATTGTACATTGGATGGAAACGAAGTCGTTTCATTTTGGCAGTGTGTGTGGTCTAGTAATGAACTAACACTAACAAGCATATAATAAAGTTATACTATTTGGGCAGTTTTATATTTAGAGCACAACTTCAAGCATACAAATTGGTGGGAGAAAGCAGGGAAAGTTACTTGAATTAATGGTTATAAATTGGGTGGTGTTTTCCACACTTCACACCAGCTCAGAACATATTGAATGACAATACTAGGAGGATTGCAGTGAGTGCTAGTATGATGGAGCGAGTAGCTGCTATCTGACCTCTACTCTTCTCAGGTTTCGGTGCCTCAGCGGGGCATTCGAGACCTTCTTTCCCTTCTCGACATTGAGACGCAAACAGGCCGGGAGGGTACTTCCCATAAATGTTTATGTAGCTGAACATGGTTGTAGCACAATCATTTTTCAAGTCATTAATAGCATCTGCAAAAGGGCAGGCAAATTCCTTCAAGGCGTTGCAGCAGCTCTTGGCTGGGTAGTTGGGTCCTTTGCACTTGCTTGTGATGATTGTGTAGTTCTGATTCTCAAAGTTCACAGGACAATCTGCAGATAACCCAAAAAGACAAGAGAAACAAGCAGGTGAGAGAATCTCAGGTAAAACATAGCATGCTAGCTAGAGACACCAAATCAAAATCTAAAAAATATCAGGTTTTGGTTTCAACAAAGAACTATAGTCCTCTAGCAGTAATAATCCCCTCTTATCGTTCGACATTCCGAGGATTGTGGGCAAAGTATGAAATTTGGTATTCTCTAGCAGTACAATACATAATTTATGTAATAAGATGCAACTTCACAGGTTTGTATTGCCCTGTTATTGCCTAATGGTGGCAATTATGAGAGGCAATACTTTCTCAATATCATCTGAGACATTGGAACTTCTTCCCTAAACAATTGTCACAAAACCGATTCATAAGTTTGATAAATTCCTTCACAGACCCAAAATGTATGTGTCATTATTTTGACTGCAACTCGTTAAAAAGTACAAACAAGGCCACAAAAAAATACGATTTACTCAGAGTTTAATGCATAAAGAAGACAATGTTTTGCTTTCTTGTCAGCCTAACAATCTGTCAACTTTCTTGGTGTGGGAGACCAACAATACCATTTATACATACAAAACTGAATGTTTGGTGAACATTGTGTACAAATTCTCAAAGAGTGATGCACGAACACATTTTCAGCCATGGAATTTATGGGCATTGACAATTAATTATTTCAAAACTGAAAAATATGGAAACAGAAAATGCATAATTTAAAGGAGAAAGCAAGGTGAAGAATTACTTTGTTTTGCCTGAAGAAGGGAACGTCCAATGGATCCACCAGTGTGGAAAATATCATCTGCAACATTCATACGTTGATAAAATCAACGACCCAAGAAATTAAATTTCCAACCAAAAAAAAAAAGAACATAAACAAATTAAATTGGAATTTAATGAATTACTGGAAAGGAAGGTGGTGGAGGAGGCGAAGCCCAAGAAGAGGAAGAAGAAGAAGAAGAGATGAAGACCGTGATTCGAAGCAGACGACATTGTATTGTTAAGGTTGTTTAGGGTTTAATTTGTGCAGAGACCGAACCACTTGTGTGATGTCGTCGATCTCTGTCTTCCAAGAGTTTGAGCTCAGCCCCTGTTTTTTGATGGCTTTGGTTACCTCTCTCAGTTTGTTGGGAGACAGAGAGGAGAGAGAGAATTGGAGGGAGGAGAGCGAAATGCTGCATGAAATTTGGAGAAACAAAGCGTTTTAGGTCTCTCCAAATTGCAAATTTTGCAATTGCCAAAAGTGGCAACTGTCAGTTTGATCCATGTTGTCCCAAAAAACGTTATTTTGTCTTCAAATATATAAATAATTGGGACTAAAGATAGAAAAACAAAAATGTACTTTATAAAAATAACTTGTAACTGTCCATGTAACATGTTTTTAAAATAACAACCATGTTTAAAGATAAACGTGTCATTATTGTGTCAGTTGTCTTAAGCAAAACCCATGTTCCTTCCATCCCCAAAAGTAATTAAACTGCCATTTATGCTCGAACACAAAGACAGGTTGACAACGAACCAAACCAAAACAGAAGTTAAAGGTTTTTTTTTTTTCTATTCTAAAGAAAAACTTATTAGAACATTCGTTGCATTATGGCAAACAGTTAGATAAACAGTTGAGTTTTTTTGGTTGAAAACTTAAATAGTTAATTTGAAATTAGACATTATACAATTTTCATCCCACCTTCATACGAATTTTAAGTTCATCACACAATTCAAATGCAATGAATGCTAAGTTCATCACACAATTCGTTGCATTATGGAAACGTTTTATGGAATTTGAAGTTGAAATGTTGAGCCATTATCATCTACACTAAATTTACTCACACAAATTGGTGCTACGATGGACTGACAAAAATGCACTACTCCCACTTTCATATTAAACTTTCAAATTAAGCTAAATTTGTATCTAATCTATGACTTTATCATTTAGAATCTCCTTCTTTAATCTGAAAGAGTAATTCATTAATTCAGATTAGAAACATCCCAATCTGAAACTAGGACAGAAGATTAGCCATGAGATTAGCCATGATGGCTTAGCCAATACATCTCATGCTCTATTGGAAAGGAAAATATTTCCTCCTACATTTTTGTCAATAGCAGCGTAGCGAAGCCAGAAATTTTATCAAGAAGGGTCAACCTTAAATAGCAAGAGTGAGAATTTTGCCTAATTGATTGGCTCATTCGATTAAAGAAATCACGAGAAATCTTATGAATTATGTGGTGTGTTTATATGTTAGAAAAAAGATACTACTAGAGCCAATAGGGATTTTGTAGTGTACATTAATTGTTATAGAATTTAAATAGTAAATAAAGAAAATGAGAAAATGAAAAAGTTAGTAAACTCAAAAGATGAGAAAGGTCAGCCATGTAATATAGAAAGTAATTCAGTCAAATGCAACACATACAAAAACAAATTATCAAAGGGTGAGAAGGGTCAAGTGACCCTTATAGGCCTTAATTGGCTCCGCCCATGCGTAGTATCATATTAGAAAGGAAAATACTTCCTTATTACTGGTAAGAATACAGGTAATGAGGCAAATAAAGTAAGTAGTATCCTATTGGAAATATGAATTTAGAATATTATAATATCAATCTAGTAATGGATCTCCAAACCAAGTATTTTCACCAGTAGTTTCCAAGAAGAATTCCTTCTAAAATATTTCTTAACTCAAACCAATTGGACTGTCTCCAAAAAAAAAAAGGAGATAATTTCCACTAGAAAACAAACAAAAACAAGTGGTTTTTCCTCCCATACCTGAGGCTTAAATGGATTTTATAAAGGAAAACCATGTGCTTTGGTCCTACCCAACCCAATTTTGTCTCCATCATTGAATGTGACAAATAGTTGACAGAAAAAAAATGAAAGTGACAAATAGCCTAATCTTGACTCACCGCTAAGGAAAAACCACTGGCTACCCCCAGCAAAAACCTCTACAGCTAGAGCTAGCCCATGGCTTTTTTTCCCCACATTTTATGTGCTTAGTTTTGGTGTCACTCTCTCACTCCCTCCATATAAAAGCAACACCAACTCCCCATTTACTTCAACAAAATTCAAACACATCAAAGCATCAGTTTTACTTCCCATCAAGTTTATGAGTGTTCTTATTAAGAATTTACAGAAGAAGATATCAATATGAGCAGTTCATCATCAGCAGCAGTAAGGAGAGGTTGGATGGTGGTAGCAAGTGTTGGAGTTGTGGAGGCGTTGAAAGACCAAGGGATCTGCAGGTGGAATTATACTATGAGATTAATGCAGCAGCATGCAAAGAGCCAACTTGGGTCTTTTTCTCAGGCTAACAAGCTCTCTTCCTCATCCTCTGCTCTGGTTTCAAGCAAGCTTAGAGATGAGAAGGTGAAGCAGTCTGAAGAGTCTCTCAGGAAAGTCATGTACCTTAGCTGCTGGGGACCCAATTGATTTCAGCAACTATATAATTTGTAGCTGAAGAAGATGATCAATACAATTTGGCACTGAAGGCAGGCTTGGATTACAAATTTTCAAGTTTTGAGGCATGGCAAGATGATAGCTGGAAACATGCGGTTAAGCTGACCATGGTTGGTGCAGGCTGAAGAAATTTTGTTTATTTACAAAATTATTGTAAATTGTAAATCTCTGAGTTCTCTATGATATATACAATTAATATGAAAATTGATATCTGATCATTAGCCCTAACCATTAAAATCTTTATCATGTATGGTCTGTCTGTTAAGGAAAGGAAGGGGTTAAAATCAAATTTTCTATGCAGATCCTACCATTAATTAGTACCAACTAGTAAATAATTTTGTCCATAGCCAGAGAAAATAGTGAATGCAATAATGTACATAGCATAGCTAGTACATAAATGCCAAACTATTTAATTTCTATAAACAAATCCAAAAATAATTCAAAAAATTATGTATTGTCGAGTGTTTTGGTTTTGGATTGGGTTTGTTTTACGAAACAAAGGCAGTTTTGTTTATATTGTTTCTAAAGTCCATTTTATGTAGATTTTTTAATAATTTAGACTCCTATATTGGGCATAATAATGAATCCCACATTTTTTTTTATTCTCTGGAATGATGACAAATGCTTTTACTCTCCCATATATTCTGTGGCCTAAAAAGCATTATTATTTTGAAAAAACAAGGTGCGCACAATGTCTTGTGTACCCCAGCAGAAAAGTTCAAACCAGAAAATCCACTGGATTTCCTTGGCTCAAAACCAGCAGCAACTGATGTAGTAGCCTCCGGTTTTTTCCCAATATTTTGGCCTTTTCTTTTTCTCAATCATGTATCCAACTCAAGTCACTTATCATTTCCTTTCTATATAAAGAGACCCTCCATGCCAATTATTTCAACTCAACCTTTCTCAAATTTTGTTCTCTTGCAAAAGACCTATCTTATCATAATTTCAATACAAATTAAGAGACTTACATCCCGAGAAAAAGGAAAATCAAGATGATGAGTGCAGCAACAGCAAGTAGGGCTTGGGTTGTGGCAGCCACAGTTGGAGTTGTGGAAGTGTTGAAAGACCAAGGGGTGTGCAGATGGAACTATCCCATGAGACTGGTGCACCAGCAAGCCAAGAACCATCTCAGGTCTTTTTCTCAGGCCAAGAAGCTGTCTTCTTCTTCTTCTTCTGCCATGGCTTCAAGCATGATCATGAGAGAAGAGAAAATAAAGCAGTCAGAGGAGTCTATGAGGAAAGTGATGTATCTTAACTCTTGGGGTCCCAACTGACACCAACCAAATTAAGCTTAGCTTAGCTTAAGGCCATTGTAAATTACTTTTAAGGCAAATGCTCTTATAAATTTAGTAAAATACATTGGGCACATATGTTTTCCAAATTCAGTTTTTCTTCTTGCTTGACTAAAGTTTTAAATTTGGCACAGCATCTTGGCTTTGGCCTAATCCGATCATAAGAACAACACAACTTTGTTACTAAATTATTCACCCAAAGGAAAACTGAAACCAACTTTTTCCCCAAAATTCTAGGCTGAAAAGAACAAAATAGCCGCTGGTATGGCCAAAAACCACAACCCAAGTGAAACCACCTCCACTCTCATCACCCCCTTAGCTCTCTCTCTCTCTCTCTGCATATTTATGGCTTCAGTTAGATAGTCTCAATGCTTATATATGACTATACCAATACTCTCTCCAACTTACTGTAACAAATTCTACTTTGTTCTTTAAATTACTGGTACTGGCCATCATTCAAAAGTTAAGAAATGAGGTGGAAGAGCAAGGCTTGGGCTGTTTTGGGCACTATTGCAGCTGTGGAGGAGTTGAAAGAAAAGAATCTAAGCAAATGGAGATCCCTGCAGAGCTACCAACATGCACTAATTAACAACATTATGCCAGTGTCTACACTAGTGGGAAAATCTTCTTCATCTACATCTTCAACAATGGAGTCAAAGAAGAAATATTGCAAGCAGGGGACTCTGAATCTGAAGCAATCAGAAGAACCACTTAGACTAATTATGTACTTGAGCTGTTGGGGACCCAACTGAGCTGGAAAGATATGCTGCATGCCCCTCCATGTTTATGAAATCATCACTAAGCATTATGTATGTTTGTGTGTGTGTGTATTTCAAGATGTACACATCCTGATCTATAATCTTAATATCATCATATCCTTGTAAGAATTTGTTCTAAAAAGAGAGGAAATAACAACTCTATGCTTTTACTCTTAGGGCCTGTTCGGTGGGTTGAATTATATGACAAAATATGATTCATAATCCTAGTAAAATGTTTCCTAGACTAATCAATGGGTGTCTATTTTGGAGCTCCATTGGATACATATTGAAACCTCAGGCCTTCCTACACCAAGCCTGGTTCAGAAGAATCATTTCTTTTCAGCAACCAAAAGCTCATCCTCTGCTCTGGTTTCAAGCAAGCTTAGAGATGAGAAGGTGAAGCAGTCTGAAGAGTCTCTCAGGAAAGTCATGTACCTTAGCTGCTGGGGACCCAATTGATTTCAGCAACTATATAATTTGTAGCTGAAGAAGATGATCAATACAATTTGGCACTGAAGGCTACATGGGTTGGCAGCAAAAGGCAGCCACAATTGAACACCTTTGAAAACCCATGTGAAGAAAGCTTCAAGAGAAGCAAAAGAAGTATGGAATGGAATTGATTCCAACCACACTAACATAGACAAGATGAAGTGAGAGTTATGGGTTGTATTAAAAAGATGATAGCTGGAAACATGCGGTTAAGCTGACCATGGTTGGTGCAGGCTGAAGAAATTTTGTTTATTTACAAAATTATTGTAAATTGTAAATCTATGAGTTCTCTATGATATAAACAATTAATATGAAAATTGATATGTCATCTGATCTTTAGCCTTAACCAAAAAAATCTATATCATGTATGGTTTGTTGAGGAAACGAAGGGGTTAAAATCAATTTTTCTGTGCAGATCCTACCATTAATTGGTACCGAGTAACTAGTAAATAATTTTGTCCATAGCCAGAGAAAATAGTGAATGCAATAATGTACTAGTAAATAAATCCTAAACCATTTAATTTCTATATACAAATCAAAAAAAAAAAAAAAAACAAATCATGTCTTGTTAAGGAGGGTGTATTCAATTTAGATTTTAAATGATTTTAAAAGAGTTATAAAGTTGATGGAGTTTAATTGAATTTAATTGAGTTTGACTGAATTCTACAAACTCCACATAAATTTTGACTGAATTCATGTATAGATTTTAATTGAGTTTGTTAGAATTTTATTATTGATTTTAATGGAGTTTAAAGCAATGGCGGTGGTGGTGATGGCAATGGTGGTGGCTATGGTGGTTTGTGGGGGAGGTAGTGGTGGAGGAGGTATGGGTGGTAGTAGTGGTTGCGGCTGTAGTGAGGTGGTGGAGGAGGTGGGGGTGATAGTGATGGTGGTGGTGGGAGTGAGGTGGTGAAGGTGGTGGTGGTGGTGGTGGAGGTGGTGGTGGTAGCGGTGGCGGTGGCGGTGGCAGTGGCAGTGATGGTGATGATGCTGGCAGTGGTTGTGGTGGTGCTGACGGCGGGGCTGATAGTGAGGGTGGTAGTGGTGGTGGAGGTAGGGGTAAGGGTGGTGGAGGTGGTGGGTGTGGCAGTGATGGTGATGGTGATGGTGCTGGCGGTAGTGGTGGTGACGGTGTGGGTGATCGGTGCATAATTACATATCATTTTGTATCCTTCTAACTTATGATTTGGTTATGTTTTTGAGTTAAACTTGTGCTTTTAATAAGCAGACACCATAGCTTAATCATACTTTAGCTAGAATCAATCCATTAATCTAATTGAACTTGGGAACTTATCTGCTTGAGTTATTTTCTTTTCTTTCTTTCTTGTTTTATTTATTTTCTTTTTTGTTTTTCTATTTTGTGTAGGAAAACTGAATTGGATTATTCAATCACCAATCCTTGTGGAATCGACCTCGCACTTACATATGCTATATTACCGAACGGCTCGTGCACTTGCGAGTATCACAAGTTGAGGATGCAGCTGAATCGACGCAACAGTGGGTGATGGTGGGGCTGATAGTGAGGGTGGTAGTGGTGGTGGAGGTGGCAGTGATGGTGATGGTGATGGTGCCGGCGATAGTGGTGGTGACGGTGGAGGTGATGGTGGGGCTAGTAGTGGGGGCGGAGGTGGGTGGTGGTTGAGGTAGTGCTGCTGGTGGTGGTGCTAAGGGGTGGCGGCGATGGCGGTGGTGGTGACAGCGAAGACAATGACTGTGGTGGTGGTGGTGGCAGCGGCGACGACTATAGTGATAGTCATGATAAAATGGTGGTAGTAGAAGTGGTGAAATCATATATCTATCAAAATCTCTGGGGGAAAGCAAAGATTTGTCATGGCCTAAAATTAGTCTATTATCAAACGAAATCCACAACCTTTTGTATTTCCTTTAAAATCAATGAGTTTTTTAATACACCCAAACTTTTATGAAGTCTTTTAAAGTCTGAATTGAATACACCCAAAATTGAATAGACTTTTATAAAATCGTAATTGAATACACCTAAACTTTTAAACTTCTTTAAAATCTTTTAAAATCTAAATTGAATACACCCCCCTAAGTGTTTTGGGTTTTTTTTATGAGGTTTTAGGTTGGGTTTGTTTTTGTGGGGGTCTTTTTGTTCCAGCAGCCTGACGAATGGGCTGGGTTGCCGTAAGGAGCGAAATATGAAATTATCCTCCTGTGTCTGAGTTCAAAAATCAAGCCCCAAGAACGTCTCGAAAGGGTAGTGAAGTCTTAGGAAACTTCTTGGTTACCTTCACCAATGAAAATAACAACAACTTACAGATAAATTTTCTAGATTAGCGTGAGAAGCTTGTGGCATGGGAGCAAAACCATCATGAGTTTAGCATAAACAGAGAGAGGGCTGTGAATTCCTATGAGAAACAAAGGTTCTATGGAAAGGGAAGTGATTCTAAGAAGGTTGGCTAAGGGGGGAGAGAGATGAAGAGGAACAATGGGTGGTTTAAGTAATTTCTAGCAGCTTGATGAAAAGTCTGTCAATATCTGGAATAGCTTGCCAGAAGAGAAAATTGGAGGAGATGGAGAGGTGTGGCTCGAAATTGAAGGGTTCCAGAGGTGAGAGATGATGCTTGCTCTCTGGGTATGGTTTGCTTGCCTTCGAATGAGTTGTTTCTAATGGGTAGGAGACACTCCCTTTTATAGCCGCTAGAAGCTCTCCTTTTTCATGAAACCCTAATGGGTTCTCCTAATTTTTGTCAACTCTCCCCTTTCCTTTCTCTTATCTCCCTTGGACTCATCCTATTTTGGTAAAAATCTCTCTGCCCAATCGCACAAAACAGGGTTTTTGGGGGCTCTAAGGCTTTTCCCGCAGCTGCTTCAGTGGTGATTTCCCATCTTTGGTTATCACCTCTCCATCTTTCCTCCCCTATTTCATGGCAAGGTCTAGTAAAGGAAGGAGATAGATAACTTTGGCTGGTCTGAAGGGTGTTTTGCTCAAGTATCCCTTGGTTCTTTGATGGTTTGCGTTGGGTTTGTCTTTGACATGCGCTGGAGTCTGAGCGTACAAACATCTCTTGGTTTTCTATCGTGGTTTCATTTCAAACCATGTGCTGGAGATTTTTTAGATATTTTCTAAGCTACTTGGGCCATTTCCTAAAGTAATGGGTTAGCCAATTAAGAGAATGGGCTAATCTCTTTAGGTGATGGGCTATTTTACCAAAATGATAGGCTAATTTCCCTAGAGTATTGGGCTGGTTTTTTCTAGAGTATTGGGCTTTTCTCTCTTTTATGCTTACCCATATATTTGGGCTCAAGAAATGGGCTTGAATTTTGGGGCTCCCAAGCGACCCAAAACTTTCATTTCTCGGCTCATCAATGGGCCTCATGAAAGCTCGTTACCATCCATACCACAACCCACTCAGCAAGCCCCAAGCATTTGCGTGGCTTGGGCACACTTAAGCTTGTAGCGTGGCTAGGTGTAACATAATGACGTTCCGCTTGGCATGGCGTGTCGATTAGCGTGCTTGAATTTTATCGCATTTGGAAAGGGATATGATGCTTGACGGGATAATTAGCATGGGTTCATAGAGCCAGTGCATTTTATAGGCTCGTTTCAACTCTCAGCGTGACGGATTACATACTTATTTGGCATGACACGTGGATCATGACTCGTGCGAGCGTGTATGACGAATTTTCGCATGCCCACACCGGGTTTCTTCTTAATATGGCGTCGTACTGGGCTGGGAATTTATTCGGGCCCAACCTTGGATTTTTTGGGCCTCAACAGTTTTAAGAAATCAATGACAGTTTTGTAATTTATAGTAAGTTCAAAGCCTCTTTGTTATGTTGTAAATGGGTTTTTGGTGTGTTTCTAAAGTCCATTTCATGTAGAGTTTTTTTTAAAAAAAATTTAATTTAGGCTCCTATATTTGGCATAATAGTGAATCGCTCAATTTTTTTTAATAGAAAAATTAATTATCTTTATTAATTGGTATTTGAGATAGAGTATTTTTGTTTGACTTTTAATACCTATGAATGAATTGTTATTTTGGATTAGGCCAAAGATGAGGCCCAGATTCGTTGGGCTAGCTTAAAATAATAACTGAAAAAAGTATGGCCCAACTTTAAAACTTACAAAGTAAATGACTTTTTTACCCCTATCTATTTAAAGTAAGCGCAATTTGAACTGGTTCTCTATCGTTTTCATTAGGCTTGACGTTTTGGAGCTCTGGTTCGTTTAGCTGCGATTGGAGCTCTAATTTTCTGGCAGGTTTTCGTTGGATTTTCTTCGTTTTTCTGTTTCACTCTGATTAAGTTTTGGGTTATTTAGATTGATCTTTATGTTTCCTTTGTAATTTTGCTTTTGCATGCAGAATCGAGGTTAGTTTTGGTGTGCGATTTCTGTGCTCTGATTCGATCTTATTTCTCCTATTTCAAGCTCAGTTTTGTATCTTCTTCGTATTGTTCAATTTCATCTTCGGACTTGAAATTGTATTTTTCTATTGTTGAGGTATGTATTTTCTAGATGAGATTATTATTCCTATCTTCATTATCAATGGAATTTTGAGATTTTCTCAATTCTCCGGTGAATGGTGGATTTCAATTATATATTTCTTAATTGGCTATCGTTGGATTACCTTTCTATTGTCACGTTGTGTCAGGTGACATTATATATTGTTAACTTAGGCAGTTGGAGTACCGGGCCATCTGATTGGAGGTTTGCAGCTACCACCATTTCAGAGTACATAGGCTTAGGTGATTATAAGTACGTTGGTAAAACTACAAGAAAATATGATATCTTAATTGGGTGTTTCATATACTATTTAGGCTATGCATCCCACGAGCACAACAGATTGTACATAAATATTGTAAGAATTCTACCTGTCAAGATGTAGTGTAAGCAATATATTGTCATTCTAGCTTCTAAGCTGTACTTCAATCAGCCACTCAAGCCATTTTAACCCCCAAGGATACCCAAAAAGAAATGGATACCAAAAGGGCAAGAAAAAAATGTCGATAGTAGTGACTAATTAAAATGTGACACAATTCACAAATTCCTTTTCATCAGTTCACCATTAAACACATTCTGCGTGAAACGTAACTGTCCGGTGCCTCAAAAACAGATTTTCTTCCTTCAATTGGTAACAATGTATTCTGAAGTATGTAGCTGACTAGCCTGAACAAAGGAAGTGCCAAACATATCCAATATTTCATTAAGCAAGGAGTACTGAGAAATGCAATTAGTAATAACTTTTCCAAGAAACAAAGAAGAAAAAAGCTGTTAGTAAGTGTATACAAAGAGGCAGCGCAACTGGAAAATAGAGGAGTTGTGGCCACACGCGTGTATTACTTGCTCTATTACTGATTACCAAGTTTCATTTGTGATGAGTTGTCAACCGATAAATGGAAACCTTATATAAAAGAGAAACAAGATGTAATCCATTTTACAAGATGGTTACTATGAAAGCAATCAATTATGAACATTAGGCAAGCACAGAAGGAAGGGGGGACTATTATGATTCTAATCATAATCAAGTGAACCTGTATTGATTAATGGCATCCATGTGAACCAATCAATCATGGGAAGCAAATTCAACAGACAATATAAACTAACAGAAGAGAAATATAGTGCATTCAGAAATAAGGTATCAAAGAATTTAGTGGAATTACCTCAACATTTAGAAATCTCTCCTGGTACCAGGTCAACCATTAAGTTTTCTTGGTTGGCTGTTAACAGATGCCGCTCATGTGTCTTACTTTACGAGTGATGGACCTGCCCATCCGAACTCTTCTAGTTGTCAGTGCTTCTAATAATATAACTAAAGTATCCTCTAGAGCCTCAGCCTGTTTATCGAATCCAAAGGAGCTGAACTCCGGAAGAAGTTGCAGCTCAGAGAGGAGGCCAATAGCCGCTCCTGCTGTACAGGTACGATCCCATGATGGTTGAGGCCTGCCCTTAACACAACACAATCAGTTAAAAACCAGATTAAACATGACTAGTGATTTAGGAAAGTTGGAAGCGCTCGAAGGAAAGAACAAAAGCCCCAGTATTACAAACAAAACAAAAAAATTATAGTTCTTACCTAAGTTTATGCATCGCAGATACACCAGTGGCCAGGGAAATACAAGGAAAGTCCGCATCTCCCCAAACTGACGTTGCTTGATCCTGCACATAGAATCATGTGAAAAACTCCCAAAGAGAACTATAGGTTCTTTCGTTAAAATTTAATTTAACTGATTTGTTGTCAGCTAGGTTATCCCTAATTCATCTGATAGTTTCATACAAGTAATGCAAATTATCAGCATATATCATAGGCTTCAAAGGTCTGAGCCATTGACTCTATTGTCATGAATAGAAGAGTGACTATTAGGGAATAATTTATTGGTAGAGGTCCATGGTTGATGGTCAAATATATCACATGAATTTATGTAAGAAATCTGCATTTGCATTTTGTAGGCAACAATCAAAACATGTAAGTAAGAAAAAACACAGAAACAAAGATAAGCCTGACAGAATTACCTTCAGACGACTGAATATTGAAACTGAATTGTTCCATGTTCCATCAATCAAAATGAAATTCAGGGTTCCATCTTCATTTGTCTGCGCATAGCCAAATTGAAATTTACCGCCATGTGCACTTGAAGAAGATATAAGAGATTTCTCATTAAGAAACCTGAAGCCTAAATATTACCTTTTCTAGTGAGATGATCTATCGACAAGGTTACTAAGAGACAACCAACATTTCTAATTAAACCACAGGTGAGTTTGGTAATGCTTTTGGGAATGGAAAAGCAATTTCAGATAACCACAAAAACAGCTTTTATAGTGTTTGACTGAAGTAGATAAAATTTCTTGACCAAGAAAAAGAAGTAGATAAAATTTCTTGACCAAGAAAAAGAAGTAGATAAAAGTTTTTTTGGGGTTAGAGAAGCACTTCATAGGTGCTTTTGCAGGCAATGCTGTTGGATGAATAATGTAGGAAGCATATCATTGAATTTTTTTACTAACAAAAACAACACCAATAAGAGCACTACCAGACATGGTGTAAAACAATAATACCTTAGTATCTGTGCATTCCAGATATGGCGACGGTTCTTGGCCAAAGACATCCTCAACTGATTTTAACGCTGCATTTTTGTTGGGATAAAGGCACCAAACATTGTTTTTTCCTGTATTTAATGTAAAATCCCAAACAGAAGTTAATGAGTCAAAAGGTTTAATATCCAAAAACATAAACTAGGGAACGCTTACGAAACTGCCAAATCTAACCGCTCAAAATAGCACTGACAACTAAAGTTCATCAATTTAGCTGGGTAGTAATTCTAATAGTTAAGTTTTAACATGCAAATACAGTATCTACTGCAAAAGCCAGTAGCTACAAACTACCAAAAATAAAAAATAAAGCACCCATTTTATCGGAGTCAAAACTCACCCTGGAACCAAAGTATGTTTTTTAACAATAAGGAAAGAGTCATGTTTCCCAAATAATAGTTTAATAATTCAAAGTAGCACTACAGTAAGTACATTAAGCTGGTCAACTTGATATTTATAGGCACCACAGTTTTGAAATTCTTTGAAGGAAGAAAATTCAAATAGACCTGCTAGCTTCAAAGCATTCCACATTATTTCTTCATGTTCGGAAATGCCAAAGAGGCACAAAGTTGCAGCCTCAGTGCCAAATACTTGCCATAACAACTTTCCAGTGTTGTTTTGTCGCAAGAAATCCTGCAAAAATGATGAATGCTAATTTAGATATTTTTTTTAAAAACTGTTTTCAAGTATCAAACTGATTCATAAAATGAGCAGCAACAAACCTTTGGATGCATATATAACCAGAACCTCATTCTATGCCAAAGAGTGGATTGTGTGACGTTTGAACACATACAATCTTCCAAAGGAAGCCAGCACTGCAAAGTGATAATAAGCCTTATATTATATGTAATGGTGACACGATATGAAGATATGAAATGGTAAAAAGGCATAAATGTCCCTTCTAGGATGCATCAATATTGCCTCACTGAGAGGAAGAAGGTAAAACCTGATAAATGTGAAATTTTTTTACAAAATAAATAAATACCTTTTGACAAAGGTAGCCCCTACTTCCCAGCAAACGACATGCTATTTGTCGAGCTGCAAAGAACTGGAGTTTTTGTTCAGAATCACCTAAAGCCTGATAGGTTTTCCGGTGCTTTTTATCCTCTTGCACTTTAAAATCTCCCTGAAAAGTAAGATATCCACAACCTACTTCAGAGCCAATTATCAACCACTCCTTGAGCATAATCAGAAAATAATAAAGGAAACCTGCATCCAAACTAAACCTTTAATAGAATAAGTCTAGAAAGGTATAAATTTGTTACATCTGAAGCACCCTGACCACTGAACCAACTAAGCTCTCTATATTACAATGGTATTGAGAGATGCTGATAAACATCCATTGATATATACACCACCATTCTCTTGTTTTTTTTTTTTTCACAAATCATCTCAAACTCTCAGTCAATAAATACCAAGCTTCATTTATTTTCAGAGAAAATAAGAAACGGCTAAAAAAGAAGGAAATCAAAATTTTAACCTCTTAAGACTTCACCAGTTGTAACCCAAGAAAGCAAAAACCTTGGCCTTTATGGCAACATTTTGAATTTCCAAACACCATCAATACAGTCAAAAGACAAACAAATGAAAGAATATATAAAACATATAAGATGATGTGTGTATTATCCTCTTCTTTTCAAAAAAAATGTGTGTATTATCATGCAAGTTATATGTTATGTCAGGCAGATTCTCAATCTAGACCATATATTCAAACAAAAATCATTTGATCAAAGATCTAGAATGACAAATGCGGCTGCCGTGGCAAGAAAACCTAGACCTACATATATAATCTCACATAAACCGCAACAGTTTGTTCCCCTTTCTAGCACCAAACAAAGCAAAGAGGGCTGATTTCCTCCAATACCCATATCAACTTTTCAGTTGCTTCTTTTCTTTTGGAAAGAACTTCAGTTCTTCATTTTATAGTAACCAAGACAAATACTAAACACCTATATTCCACAAAACCATGTTTGATATATAGGGAAGGCCATGAGTTTTGCTTTGGTATCATTGTGTGGGATTGGCAAACTGATGGATAGTGCTAGGTTAATCTGAAATAAAAAAACGTAGTTAAGAGAAAAAAGAAAACAACATACACACTATACACAATATGTCAATATCTAATTTTCATTTCCTCCTTGGCTTTCTTCGAATTTAACATAGCATTAAAACAAAAATTACTCCAAAGATTCCCAGAAGACAAAAGAGATAACAATTTGTTCAAATACCTGAAGTTTGCCACCACTACCACCAAAGCTCATCTGGGCATCGATATCTTTTTCCAAAGCCTTCAAATCCTCAACAATTTTCGTAACCATGGCGGGCAGAGGGGACGTGGTGCCCCAACCCTGCCATTCCTGCAATGTGATAGCGCCTTCAACAGCGTCGCTTAAACGAGCTGCTCTTTGACGGGAGCCAGAAGTTGAACATGAAAATGGGCTGCGGAGGGTGCTGGGTTTTGAGTCCATGAGTGTCTTGGTGGAAAAGGCGAGAGAAGGAGAGCATTTGAATGTGAAGGCCCTAGGCCAGGCCATGGTGGACTTGCTGTTTGTGTGCAATGTCACTATAGCCTAAACTTGCCGTTTTGCATATGAACTAAATTGGCAAAATTGTAGCAATGGTCCCTGGATTAAGACCAAATTCTACCTTTCATTCCTCATATTGCTAAATTGTTACAGTAGTACTTTAATTATGCCTTCACTTTCAGAAATCGTCATTTCCGTCATCTTAGTCAACTTTTCCGTTAAAAATGAGGGCATATTTGTCTTTTCATGTGATCCACTCTTCTTCCCCTTTTTTTTCTCAGTTCTCAAAAAATAGAAATTGAGAACAAAATAGTTCACACCAGAGTTAATTTTCCTCTAGTTTTTATTTTTTAGGCTTATTTACTGTAGCACCCCCTGAAACTTCGGTTAAATCTCACTTTACCCCCCCAAAGTTAAAATAACCCACTTAACCCCCTTGACCGTGGTTTTGTGTTCCACTTTCCCCCCACAGTTAACGCCATCCAAAAGACCGTCAAAAAAGCTGACGTGGCAGGGTCATTATGGTAAAAGATACAACAATAAAAATTCAAAAATCCAAAAGAAAAAAGAAACAAAAATTTTAAAAATTAAAGTATTAGTATGGAAAAAAAAATATTAATTAAAATTAAATTATTATTTTAAATACTTATTTAATTAAAAAATTGAAAAATTAATATAAAAAAATTCTCTTCTTCTCCATCTTTCTCTCTTCCCCAGCAACCACCGTATAAACCACCAGCACCACCATACCCACATACCCACATACCCAAACATCAAACCTACCATCTAAATCACCATATCCATCATAGAGGATTGAAAAATTTAAGGAATTGTTTTGAAGATCAAGGTACTAGAGCTCCCTGAGTTGGCATATAGAGAATGAAATTTTTCCTCGAAAACCATTAACTTACTCCAATCCTCTACCTAGATCCCACCCACACCCATCCCCCTCCTCAGCCACACTAACCCCTTAACCCACCTACCCCAGCCATTTCCACCCCACCAACCCAACTTCAGACCTCTCTCTCGCCACCATCACCATCGCCACACCAGCCAAGAAGCAGGGCAAACAAAACAACCACTTCCAAGAATGAAGGAAGAAGAAAGCCTCCTCTGCACCCAGACCCAATCGGTCCAACTCGAAACCCAAACCCAATTTCTTCACTATTTGGGCAACACCCAAACCCTATTTTCTCTACAACGAGTCATCCCAAGGGTTTTTGAATAAGGAGAACTTCTCCACTGAGATCAAGTATAGGAAAGCCCTTGTTGGGGTTAATGACAGAATACTTGCCCATTGTCTGGGCTAATCGGCGAGGAGGTGGCTGGTAGAGGGATCAGGTTGTGGATGGGTGAGGAGGCGGCTGGGGCTGGAGCTTTGATTATTTTCTGCTGGTTGGTTTTTTTCTTTTTAATTTAATTTTGTTATCTAAGTAGTAGTGACATAAAACAGATTATAACATACCCTCTTCGACCAAACAGACCCTCAGAACTCCAAAACCAAACAGATCCTCGTCGGCCCAACGCTTTCGGTTTCACCGGCGTCATTTGGAGGCGTTGTTGTTTTGGCGGTGGCGATGGTGGAAAGTCAGTCTCGACCATGTGATGGTGAGGGTGGCTTTGGGTTATGAAGTTAGGGGAGGGAGAGTTCAAGGGAGAGAGATGGAGAAGAAGATTTTTATGTATTAATTTTTTCAATTTTTATATATTTTTTAACTAAACAAGTAATTATATTATTATATAATATATTTTATTCCACTTAAGCAAAAAAAGTGGGCCCTTTATATGACACATCATCACTTGTTGTAAAAAGTCTAAAATAGCCATGCCACGTCATCAAAACTGACAGAGTTATTAACGGAGATAACGGTATGGGGTAAAGTGGAACACGAAACCACGGTCAAGGGGGTTAAGTGGGCCATTTTAACTTTGGGGGGATAAAGTGAGATTTGACCGAAGTTTCAGGAGGTACTACTGTAAATAAGCCTATTTTTTATGATAGCATACAATAAGAATTTTTCACTGGCAAAATTCTTCAGGTGGGTTTGTGGCGTTGATGGGTTTGTGGTTTGGACTGTTGGGTTGTGGCTTGGACTTGGGTCTGCAACTCTTGGCACAATGGCACCCCACCCTCCCCATCCTCTCTCTCTCTCTGAACAAACCAAGAGCCTTGCAGCCCCACTTGGACTGTTTGAATTTTCTTCTTCTTCTTCTTGTGCTTGTGGGTTTCTGGCGTTGATGGGTTTTGGTGATGATATTCATTTTGTTTTTTTCTTGAGGCCCCTAGAAGACACCAAATCCATTTTTATAACTTAAACGAGAAATGAATTGGTCATACCTGTAGGAGTGACCAATTCTTGAGAAACTGAAATTCCACGGAATGATTTTATTGGGTATATGACTATCGATGAGACTTCGGCTATGGCATCTGATTCTGATAGAGAGAGAGAGAGAGAGAGAGAGAGAGAGATATATATATATATATATATATATTATTTTTTATTTTATTTTATTTTATTTTATTTTATTTTTTTGCCCATGCCAAGTAGGACTTGTCCATGCCACGTCATTATTTTTAACGGAAAAGTTGATTGAGATGATGGAAATTACAATTTCTAAAAGTGGAGGCATAATTAAAGTACCATCGTAGCAATTTAGCAATATGAGGGACGAAAAGTAAATTTTGGTCTTAGTCCAAGGACTAGTGCTACAATTTAGCCAACTAAATTTGCAATTGTCTTTTCTTTTCTTTTTTGTTGACAATAAGTGATGGTTTTTATTAGGGGTCAGCAATCAAACTGAAAATTAGAGAAATTGGGCAAAAGTCAGTTTGGTTTGGTCTGGTTTTTTTATCCTTCGAATTTTGGGTTGAAAATCAAATTAGACTAACCATTTGACCTTTACCAACCCATCAATTTATTCAAACCGAACTTGCCACCTCACAATACTAAACTTTTGCAAAATTTTGACATTATAGAGTTTCAAACCCATCACCTCCTGCTTAAAAGAAGTCCGTCAACATGGTAGTAGCAATTGTTGTTGTATTTTATTTGTGTAATGACAGTATTTAATGGTTTTTAAATGGAATTAACAAATAAAATAGGGTTTAGTCGTCGAGCCCAGATCACTGCCTCTTTGTTGTAGTCCTCTGTGCACCTCAAAAAACGCAACTGAGCCAACCCAAATCATTCAATTGATTAATTGAGGACTCTGGTTAACCGAAGGTGGTGGTTTGGCGTTGGTGCCAGAAAACCCTCCACCAAGGGCTACGGTTCGGTGAGCGATTTGGAGTGAACTTGAACCAAACCACACTGAACCCACGCCTAGTTTTTATTGATAAGTAAACCAAAATACAAAGCAATTATGTGTCAAATATGGGTAAATATTCTCCAGTGATCAAATGCAACAATATGTTGACTTGATTTGGACATAATCACCCACTATGTAGTGGTCCCACGTGAGGGGGTGTGTTGAAGAATATAAAGTCTCACATCGGAAACTTGACTAAATAAACTACAACTTATAATAAGTGGTTCCACTCCTAATAACACCGACGCCTTTTGTGATAAAACCCAACACCTATTGGGCTTTATAGGTGGTTAAGTTTGGAACAATATCGGTGTTCCTAGTGGTGGGTCACATGCCCGTCTCTTTGAAATTTAACAAAGAGCACATGGGGTTTCCCCGATGTCTCTACTGCCTCTGTTGCTCTGTCTTGACTGGTTGTGCGTGTGAGTGGGATTGCGATTCCACTCAGTTTCCACTTTATTTCGGCTGCCCTTGGTCTGACTCCTATTCGCTCTGGCAGTTCGTGTGAGCCGGTTCCAGATTTTCTTCCGTGCCTTCAACTGGTGAATTGACTCTATGTGTCTCCACCTGAGGTGCTCCCCACTGAGCTCTCCTCTGGCATGATGTCTCAGTGGACCCGTACTCTGTATATGCTTGTGCGAAATTATCTGAATCCCACTTCCCAGCATGGGAAAGTGAGTTGGAAAGCTGCTCATATTCTCTTCCAGCTAGTGATTGAGCAATCTGCCAGTGTTGAGTTCTATGTTCGTGAAAGCCTCATTGTCGCTGGTGCTCCAATGCCGCTGTTCCGACATCCAGTCTTGTTCTTCCTCGGATTATCACAACCTTGGCTGCTCATGTTGGTGTTCCTGCACTGCCAACAGATGATATTGGCTCATCCGACACCATCAAGGTCAACAACCAGGTCACTTTACACCGCATCGATGCTCACTGTACTTCGGATGGTTTCTCCATCGAGCAACAGGCTCTTTTGGATTCACTCTCTGCATCTCATCAAGTGACGCATGCGCTTCTTCATCGCATCTGGGATCGTCTTGACACCTATAGTGAGCTGTTGCTGTCACTTGCTAGGCACATTTAGCCCACTGATCCTCCTAGTCCTCCTCCAGCTCGCAGCATCTAAGGTTCATCTGTTCTGCTTCTGGCTCTGTTCTCTTTTGCTGTTCTCTCTGTGTTCCTTTGGAATTCCTAAACAAAAAGGGGGAGAATATTTTGTGTTACATATGAGATTTAGGGGGAGTAACTATTGAGAGTAGAAACATGAAATATAAGGGGAGATAACTTTGTTTGTCTATGGGATCATAACTTTTAGTACTGTTGGCGTTTGCGAATCTCGCGGCCTGGTAATCCGGGCCGAGTAGATCTGCGTCAACACAGGTCGTCCTTCTTGGGTATGGTATGGTTGGATGCTGGCGTGCCAGCACGATTCACCGTGCGTTTGAGGATGAGTTGATTGGACGGATAGATGAGTGATGCGCCTGTTTGAGTCTGACTTTTAATCAAACGATTGTGGTCGAAAGAGGAACTGATCTCGGCCGTTAGGTTCACGGCCTGAGCTACAAGGCCGTTGATGGTGGTGCTGATAGGGGTTTTAGGTGGTGCTCCGGCGCGTCGCTGGGTGGCAACGGTCGTATGATATATGGAATGAACGAAAGAGTAACAAAGGTGATGCTCTGGCGCCTTGAAAATCAAGGGTCGTATGATATATTAATGAATGGATTTCCCTACAAACTGTCACTACTCCTAAGAAAACAAGTAAATGTATTGAAATGGCATTACAAGAATGTAAATGACAAGAAGTAAATGACAGGAAAATATAATTTGCTCCGTGGGAGGCTTGTGTTTGGTGTTGAACCTTTTTAATGTATTTGGAGCTTGCTATTTATAGAGAAGGTCTTGAGGAGACAATGAAGCTGACAATCTGCATGGTGAGGTTGATCAAAGCTAGTGGGCAATCGAGTCGGCATTTGGGAACGTGAAGCATGGTGGTGTGACACCCATAAACCCCGGCCGCCGCCCTGGTGGTGGGCTCTGCATCTCGGGCCTTGGAGGAGCATTTAATGCCCTGGTCTGATGGTTGGTGGCTTAGCCATACAAAATCATGGGATTTTCGCACCTAATCCCTGATTTTACTCACCATATCTGACTTCAATCACGTCCCCTCTTTCTTGGCTCATTAAATACTCCTACGTGGATCATGTGCTTTCTGCTGTGATCAGAGGTACTACCTCATTAAATGAAGCGTGGAACCATGATGCCATGTGGCGATGCCACTTGATTTTCCTACTCTGGCTGTGTATCTGAGGAGTTCGTCCTCGGCCAATGTTACCGAGGCCGTGATGGCTTTGATTTATAAGCTCACTTGTCTTTAACCAACGGAAGCGATGACTTGATCGTGGATAGACGCCAGGGCCGAGTTGTTGTTCCTTCGGTCAGCTTCCTTGACTGAGATTTATTAGGCACAAACAAGTACTTTGCTTAACCTCCTGACATATGAAATATTGTTGTTTAACTGTGTCAATTTCTGGTTATTATTATTTCAATTCTATTATGCTTCACTGGTAATCTGTTTGTTGGTGTGCAGACGTTACAATAACTGAATATCTGCCTGACAAAGTAAACTAGGTTGTGTAGGTTTTCTTGTACACGTGGTTGATATGTAATCTAGTGTTTTGTCCAGGAAATGTCAAAGGGGGAGATTGTTAATACGAAAATTCGAATTGGCATTTCCTAGACTCTAGCATAGGTTGCAAATTAGGTTGAGGGGAGAGAGACGAGAGAGAGTTGTTTTTTCATTTTTCTATTTTCTAACTATATCAAATAGTAGGTGACGTGGTGACACGTGACTTTTTTACGAAAAAATGGATGAAATTCTAAAAAAGTAACGGTAAGGCTAAATTGACGATTTCAATTAATTTGGGACTAAATTGGCTGATCTTTTAATTCAATGCCTTAATTTCAACAATGGTCATAGTTCAGGGTAAACGGCTGAAAAAACAAAAAAATGTTTCTCTTCTGAAATCCAAACCTCAGCTGTTAGTATACTGTTGATCGCTATAGCTACACTCCAAGCTCCTCGTCTCCATCCTCCAACACTTTTCTTTCATACCTTCACTCAGAGTCCCACATCTGACTTTCATTTCTCTCAATTCTCACTATATATTGAAGCAATAGTCTCCATCCCGAATCTCTCTCCCGTACATTTCTCTCTTCAATGGCGACGATAACTGACTCCATCGCTCTCTATTCTTCGGCTCAAAATTCATATCTCCGGCCGGCGATATCGTCAAGGCCGGCTCTTTCCATCTCTGTTCGCCGGAGACTGGATGCGTTGCCGGAATTCAGGGGTTTGAGGGTTCACTTGCTTCCCAAACCGTCGCCCGCTTCCTCCAATTTTCCAAAAGCCAGGCCTTTTCCATCATCTGCCGGCATTGTCTCTCAAGCTCAGGATACCACTCTCGATGGTACGTTTTTTCTTTTGCCTTCTAATTTTAAATTTTCGCATAAAAATTGATTCTTTTTCTCGTTATTTGGTTCCTATAGTTTGGTTTCTCTTACCCCTTTTTCTTTAATCTAAGAATTTAGTTTTGTTGATGTTCTATTTTGGTGTTGAGGAAGCAATGTAGCACAATAGAAACAAGAAAGAAAAGTTTTGTTTGGATTTTGAACCAAGTTTTGATCATTTACTAGTGGATATCTCGTTAACTCTGTAGTTGGGTGTATTCAATTTTTTGCCTAAATGGCTATGCGAATTGAGATTGTTTTTATAGATTCGTATTAGCTTTATGCTCTGTCATTTTCTAGGGTATGTAATGTAAGCTCTGCTTGATGGGCTGCATCTTTGCTCCATTGATGAGTACTGTTACATGGGATTTTGTTTCATTAACAGTTTAATTAAGTATCCCCGACAAGAAGTATGAACTGCTTTTTTGGGTGTTATTGTTGTTGATTAGGGATGCCGAAACAAGACTAGTTCCCTTATTTCATAGCATAAGTTCTAATCATCTTCAATATTATCACCCTTATTTGTTTCTGAGTATAAAGAGGAGCAAGCCTTCATCACGTTAGAAATTTGATGGGCAAGTGTTATCTAAAACAGAGATTGTGACTGAAGGATTTCGTTAGTTCGAGAGCCATAAGTTTTATTGCTGTTTGTAGAGGACGCAGAGTATAGATAGGAAATTTGCACATAACCATATGCGTTCTAGTGTACTGTGCAACTCCCATGCAATTCTTGAACCCAAAACATTCATGTTCATCCTCTGATATTTGTGTGTCTATCTAAATTCATAATGGAAATAACGATAAATTTGTTACAATACTTGGTAATAGGCTGAGGCAGGGACAACCTCGTGATGTTAATGCTTCAAAGACCAGCCCGAGTCAAACATTCAGGGTTCGGCAGGCTGGCTACAGGCCAAACCAACTTACCTTGCCTTGGGTTTGTATAAGATGAGGGTTGGGAAGGTTGAATGGTTAGGGTGGGGTGGAGTTGTCACTTTTCTAGAAAATGTAGTGCTCTAGTTGTCCATGATAGAAATATAGGTGTGTTGGTAGAATGCCCTGTGGAACTTTTGAGGGCCACTTTGCTTCATGGAACCATTCTTCATCATTAAGATGACCATGGTTTGATGAAGAGGTGAATGCGTGTATTTTTCATCGCTACAATAACCATATTAATATGAAGATGACGTTTGAGATAAAGTCTGGATCTAAATTATATTAATCCTGTTTGCTTTACAAAATAATCCATAATGGGGATGATGCAGGTATTGAATTAGGAACATAGAGACCATTAGAACTCCGGGTACCATAATGATTGAGAGTTTTAAGCATTTGAATGTGCTTCTTACGACTCCCAAGAATTGAAAGAATTGGCAGATAGACTGTCCCTAAAATACGTAGTAGTGAGTGCAAACCCACATTCACATAAAAAAAAATGACCGGTTCCATTTTACAATCTATAAATTTCCTTCATGGCCAGTTTCAAGGAAGCATTAATAGTAACTTTTTGAGGTTAGAATCTATGTAACCCATCAAACTAACCCTCAAATTATGCTACATTCCTAATTGAAAAGAATTTTTTTTAATCTTTTATATGCATAAAGAAAATTATAAACATATATTGTGTGTGTGTGTGTGTGTGTGCAAATGAAAATCTAATTGAATCACCAAAGAAAATTTCTTAAAAAAGATTATAACATGTGAAAAGATTTAATGTACACATCAATTTGGTAAACATATATTGTGTGGGTGTGTGTAATATTGGATGCAATTGTTTTTTAGTTTCCAGAAGAAACCTACTTCTAATTTGTGTTGCCATTGTCGTATCAAATTGGAAGCTTCCTTTGTCAAACAATTTTTCTCTTTTGAAATCGATGACTTCCAATTAATTTCAACACTGCAATCTGACAAGAAGTTATCCACCGCAATGCCTAAACTCCAAATTTAGCATGCCATCTGGAAGTTGTGGTGAAAAATCATACTTTTCAGGTTTGAAGAGACGTATCAAAGGAAATGAAATAGGCATGAGGTAGGAATACAATGTTTTGTGGTTATCATACCTGTATGAGTTCGAAGCCATTTGGTTACATATCCAATTTTGTGATGACCCTTTCTACGTCAAATTTCATTTCCTCATTTCTTCACATCTCACATCTCTTATGTCACAGTACCACTAGATGTGGAAATTGAATGTGTACTTCAATATCAGCTTCACCTTATCCATGGTAGAAAGTCAGAGAACTCAAATTAACTTTTTCAGGTCTTTATTTTCTCCCACAATGGCTTCAGATAAAATATATCAATGTCTGGTTTGTCGCAGATGATTTCTTGATGTTTCTATAAAGTAAAAAAGATGAAGTGAAAGAAAGGCCTCAAGTTTATTCTAATCTGCCTGCAAATGAAATTTTGTTCTTATTCAGTATAGTCAACTATAATGGACATGAAATGTCAGATCTATATATTATGCATACACTGTAATTCAGTAAAAGTTTTGGAATCAATTGTTTTTCTTGGTGCATACACTGTTATTGTCAATGTGATAGATAAGCACACTTCACTGTAATATCTTCATCTGGTGTTGTTTGGCAGTTCCATTCATGTGCCATCAAACGATTGGACCATAGCTACCATTCACCATCTCTCATAATTGCATGTTACAAGTTTTTAAATGGAGCTGTATTTTGCATTTATTCTGCATTTATACTTGGTCATATATAAGAGTGCTGGCTCAGATAGTGCTCCAGTATTTTAGTGCATAAGACCAGGTTGATACAGAGTACTGATTGAGTAAAAGTTGGACATTTTCTGAAACTTAGAAAAAGAACATTGTCTGATTGTTTGCTTGTATCAGGTTACCAGCATATCATCTTTTTGTATTAAGATCACAGTTTAGCATTGATTCTTTTTGTTAAATGCAGGCGAATGTATTTACCCTTTTGCTTTCTAACTACAGTTCCCACAGTTACGGATACAACATGGAACTCACTGGTCCTTAAAGCTGATGGCCCTGTATTGGTTGAGTTTTGGGCTCCATGGTGTGGACCTTGCCGTACGATCCATCCAGTAGTGGGTGAACTAGCAAAGGAGTATGCTGGGAAGCTTAAGTGCTTTAAGTTAAGCACGGATGATACTCCTTCAATTGCAACCCTACATGGAATTCGAAGTGTCCCAACCATCATGATTTTCATTAACGGTGAGAAAAAGGACGCAATAATTGGTGCTGTGCCTAAAACTACATTGACTGCTACCATTGAGAAATTTTTGTAGGTGGGTATGGAAATCTTTTGCAAAATTTCTATTAGTATTTTTCTTTTCTTTCATGTTCTCTTTGCTGTTAGGTAATAAATTCATTAGTCTATCAAATTTGGAAGCTTCTTTTATCTTGTCTTTTGATGGTCATCTATGTTGATTTTCTACATGAGACGCCTCTCGACTCCTCCAATAATACTGGCCTTGCTGAAAATTTCTTGCCCCAAAGAAAACTAGAGATTTTAGAGGGTCAACTTTCGCAACTTTGAAAATCTTCTGCATAAGAGTCCCTACAATGACCTGGGTCTTGCCTTCTTACCCACTCACATTTTGTCATATTTTCTTCTATTCTAGAACTTTTGAACTTAACTAGTCCTTCATGTTGATTTGATGTTGTTGGATCTTACTGAAAAATATGTTGATACTTTCTTTTGAATTGCTGTCACCAATAAAGATAAATCAAGGGCTGCAGCCTGCTTACAAGTTACATCTAGAATCTCACAAGAGTTCTGACTCTTCTTCTAAGCCATTTCTGATTATGATGTTGATGTCTTTGATTCAAAAACTATGACTGTTTCTGTTGTTTATATGGCTTGAATCAAACTGAGGGCTTCATTCCTATTGGCAGCTGACTAAGAAAATAGGGTCGAAGTTAGAAGTTGCCTTGTTTACAAATATAAAAAAACAAGAGGAAAGTCTATATTATGATAGAAACTACATTTTATTGGTCTCTGTTCTTGAATTTCCATGCCAGAAGTATGTTTAGGGAACCATTTATTCTTTTATTTCGCAAAGAAAAGTCTCATTAAACTTGAAAGGTGGACTGATGAGTTTGTCTTTCAACAGAAAAAAAGAATAGCTTTCATGAGAAGACAGAAATAAAATACTTCATTCCATTTTAGTCTTCTGTCAAAACGAGTTCACTTTACCAAGTTAATAAAATCGGTTTAACACTTGGTACAAAAGAGAAGAAGCTATTCTTGTTAAACAAATTAGGAGCTCTCCTTTTCTCTATTCCCTAACGTAGGGTGCCTGGTTCTAACTTCCAATGGAAACATGAGGAACCCTATTTGATCTGGGCACGGGTGCCACTAGCCCACAACCTTCTACTAAAATTGGATGGTCCACAAAACTTGAGCAGCAATTCAATTCAACTTTTTCTTTCAAACACTAACTGTTATGATTTAAGAAAGGAAGAGGCTTTATCAATCTGTTTACTAAGATGTGAGCACGCCAAAAAAAAACCATTGAAATGAAAAAAGTTGACGCTTGGACTAACGGTGAAGACGGAATGAAGTTGCAAACAAGGAGGAAATTGAAAAAATAAAAAATAAAAAACTGCAAGTTGGCCTATTTAAAATTTGTAGACCATATCACAGTCGCAGTCACAGTCACAGCCAGTCAGAGCCTTATCTGAATTGTTGTGAATATTGTGTAAACTCAATTTGTTATATGGGAACCTTCTGACATTTACTAAGTCCAATTTTAATTGACATGCCGCCCTCTATTCTCTAATGTTCTATTGTCTATTTGGTCAGTTGATTTTGTTGCTTAGTATTGAATCGATATATTACTCTGGGAACCACTTGGCCTTGTATGTCTGGTTTATTCTGTGTAAACAATGATTGTTGCTGAAGCTCAGGCTAGGCGGCATTTTACTAGAAACATCAGCATGCTATTATTTTCTATTACGTCTCATTGTTTTTCTTTCTTTATAATGGCGTCCGCATGGTAACATCGTGCGAACATCTGCATAGGAAAAGAACTATATATATCATCAACATGCAGGCCGACTCCCAATGCAATTATGCAACGCTAATTTTTAATCGGCGGTTTATGTGTCTGGAAACTGGTGTTGCTTATTACATGCATTCTAATTAGCCACTTGGATGCCAGAAAGCTAGGTTAGGTTAGAAACAAATGACAAATAGGAGATTAGCAATACTTGGATATTATAAAACCAAGGAGGCCATCGGAGGCCAGCTAGCTAGAAGCGTCTTATTAGAACTTTCTTTCTTGTTGTTATCCTTTTGTAAACATATTGGCAACAAGTCAAGCAAAACCCAAAACCCAATGCAAGTTTTTGTTTAACTTCAAGTTGTGAAGTTGGTGCTTGGTCTATTCTGTTAACTAGTAGCTTTGACTGATGATTGAAGTTGATCACATGGAGTATCTGTAGATCCTGCATGTGTATTTAAAACTGAACGAGACTGTAATGGTTTAGTTCGGTTGTGGTTTTGAGCTTTTGTAAATCCCCCTAAACTAAACCAGAGAAGTTATGAATTCGATTCAACTTCATCAGCATTTTTTTATTAAAACCAAACTAAATCAAATCATTTTATTTTAATAGGTTCGATAGTGAATGTGGAGTAAAATTGATTCAATCCGACTCGTGCTACCCCTAGCTAGCAGTTTCTTATAAGTTGACTGTGTCATGAGTGTAAAATCTAGGCATATGAAACTTGTAGTTTTGGTCCTGCATGGTGGGATGAATAGATCTAAGCCCTACTGTCCTCCTTTTTTCTCTCTACTATTTTAAAGCTAATCAAAGTAAGTTGCTTGCCAATTGCAAATTGGCTTGTGAGGTTTGCGAACATGGTCAACAACAGCCCTGTGTTATCCATGTCCGTATTCTCTATCTAGGAAACAGTGACAATACAATGCACAAAGATAAGCCATCATGCACCACCTAATCTTTATCTGGCGTGCAGAAGTCCTGTCTTCTGAGCAAGAAGAAGATAGGCACGACGTCATTAACAACTTTCGAAGGAAAATTATTACCTGAATATTATATTATTCACGATGAAAGGGATATTGCCGTTCAATGATTTTGTTTTTGTTTTTGTTTTTTTCCTATACCCTCCAATTTTGTAGATGTGGATTAGGCCAGTTGATTACGACAGTGAGTCCGCTTGCTAACGTCCAAGTTCGGAAGCCAATTTGATAGGCACAACTATATGAAAATTAATTGTGAAAGTTCGAAAGCCAGTTGATCAGATCAGGGCAGGCAGAACTATGTGAAATGTTGATATTGTTATGCATCTTGCCCAGCTTAACATTTACGATGAATTGGGTTCTTTATTTAAAACACAAGTTAACTGCAAAGTCGTGCTAGAACCTAGAATATCACAGTTCATTTTCACACTAGAAAGTTTAACCCCTAGTGATCTATAAAAAGAGAATTCAATCTGGTCCAAAAGGTTTGGTCCAAGGTTGACAAATACGTTTTATTCAGAAACTTTCCACACACTGATCAAGTAGAATCATGTTTTAAGGTGGATTTCTGTTTTTTTTTTTTTTTTTTTTCTTATACAAGCAATAGTTCAAATTATTTTAAATTAATCTAATTTCAGGGAAGGGGGATTCGATCTTGAGTGAAGGTGGCGGGCAATTTGAAGGTGCGATTCTAGTTTATAAAAGCATGACTATTTAAGATATATTTTATCTACGCGTATATGTTATAAAATAAAAACAAATTTCCTTCTTTTGGTAAGCTAAAATCATATACATGTTTATCTATAATCAAATACCATGATCAGCTTATACATGAGAATACGCTATATATATGTACGGTATGGATTGGAGTAGACTTCATTTTCACCACGCCATGAACTTATCTGCTCTGAACTGAATATATCTATTGAATACTTATCGTAATTGATTTTTCTTTCTTTGTACAAAAGTAGCTTTCTTCTTATCTAACCATGGAGTCATGACAAGATGTCTCTTGTCCAATGAAATTATGAGTTACTTTCCCCGTTCTAGTTATATATTAATTCGAGGGGTAATAATAATAATAATAATAATGTAACACCTCTAAATAGGAGTAAAACAGTGCTCATCATACTCAATTATGCTCCAACAAATCCAAATAAAATACAACTTATACAAAATATAAGATGGGCAATATAGGAGGGCGGTGGAAGTTTCATTATGTTATGAGTTTCGGTTTCAACTGTTTTTTGTTTTCAGAAATCTCGACTGTACAAGGGAAACTTTATTAATCATCAATAAAAAGACATGGGCATAAAAGAGGAAGGAGAGAATAGGAGCTTAAGAAGTTGACCACGATTAGAGGCATCAACAAACAAAAAGTCCTGAATAAGATCATGAGGCTCCTCAAACCATTCGAATCTATCACTAATAAATAATGCCCGACGAGCTAAGCTATGTGTCACTTCATTCTCATATAGCACCAATTTTCCCGTAAATAACTTGTTGGACTTTCGTCGTCTTCCTTAGTTAATTGGCAAATTAGGCGTCCACCTATTAAAATAATGGAATAAGGCAAAAGACTTCTAGAAGCTATTTTAACTAATAACTACCGGCCAGAGATAGACTATTTTTATAGAGTACATTAATGTATTATTTTATGCGTAGCTAGCAAATATAAAAAAATAGAACATGTTAAATAATAATATAATAAAGAAAATTCACTATTATACGGCCCAAATTGTAAAAACACCATATATGAAATGGACTTTAGAAACATACCCAAAGTTCATTTAAAACTTAATAGAGAGGTTTTTAACTTCTTATAAATTACAAAACTGCTATTGATTTCTTAAAACAAATCCAACCCCAAAACCACATTAAAAAAAATCCAAAATACTCAATAGGACATCAAAGTAATTTAATAATCAAAATTAAATTCAATATGGCGAGCTGTCATATTTTGGGTTTTTTTAGAGTTGTTTATAAAAATTAAATAGCATAGAATTTATCTATATCATTAGTGCTAAGAATAAGTATATAACTAAATATCTCATAAGATAATTCCTTTTTTTTGGGTGAAAAATAAAATAATTCCCTTTGAGTGCAAGATATGATGGTTTTGAGCTAAGTCGGCATAGGGAAGTGGTGCTGCCCCCTCCCTTCTAGATCAAGTTGATTGGGTTGCTTGAAAGCAACTTATGGCTAGGAAAATAATTAAGTAATTAAAAGTGACCACATAGAGATAAGTTAAACATTAATTCATGACTATATTATATTAATAATTGAAGATTTTAATATTCATGTTGCATGTTATAGCTGCAGTGCTCCGGCATTAGTGGTTTCAAATTGTCGTTTGTCCTTGGAGACTTCACATCATATAAATCAATATGCATTATTAATATTAGTAGATATTTTTAAAATCCTGTTGTTTGTTTAGTCTAGGTCTTTAGGAAGCGTGGTCGATCGATCATGTATACATGCCTTCTTTCATTGGCCAATTAATCAAGCTCACAAGTTTCAAACTTTTGACGAGAAGGGGGATTTTCTCGCATAGACGGCAAAGTGTCATAGGGATTTGAACATGAAATCGCTTATCAGTAAGTTAATGGTATTTTCTACTAGATTAGACCCCGTCGGTTCAAACTCTTGCATTTAAAATTTGGGAAGAAGAGTGTTATATTCTAATAATACAAAAATTAACAATAAATAAGTAAAAAAAGA